TCAAAACGTGTCAGGATGTAGTATACAGTGGAAATAGTGTGATGCATACGGACCGCAGACTGTGTGATGTACCGGACGTGCACTTCGTGTATTTCTTCTTCGAGAAGTTTGTCTGTGACACATGTGGGCGTTCATTTAAAAAGTTAATGCCCTCTTGTGGTCACCGTTAGGTACTGCACATTATTGAAATAGTCAAGCCGCCGTCAATAACGATTTTAAAACATATCAATACTTCCGGCAACTACAAAACTTACAAACTTACATAAAAAAAGTCACAAAATTACCAGTTCAGTCCTGCATTGTGTTCATGGTATAAACGCCCAGTTAATATCTATATAACTGTTATTAATATGTTGTATATAATTTCTACAGTCGTTTATAAAAACATTTAACTAGCGGTTTAAAATATTAGCCATACAGTCCATGTTAATGCAGCTCTAAAAAGTTTTTTAAACAACGTCTTAAATAATTGTGCTTGTGCTACAACACTTGTTTGGATGGTTATATGAGCTTAAAATATGCAACAGGTAAATGTTTATATGAAAGAAAGACAGTACAGTGGGTGTTTAATGTCGGTGCTGCAGTTCCTCCATGTGGCCACGGGGGGTCAGTAAATATTCAAGATGCTACGATACGGGAACGACAAGAGGTTAAAAAGAAAAGGAAAAAAAACTTTATTCCCCACAAAACTCTCCATACCAGAGGGCTGTACTATGAAGCAAGTCTGACAAAGTCAGGCTGTCTTTGTGTAAGTCGGCTGGACAAAAAGTTAAACTCCAGTCAGATATATCAGGAAGGATGTTTTCAACTGTCGTTGTTAACTCAGACTTTCTGCTTCAGTCAACACGTTGTTTTAATGGAGAACAATGAGGAATACAAAAATGTATGATGGTTGGGGGGAAAAAGCGCCGCTGGTGACGCAAGACAGGAAATTCTGGCAGAAATGTGCTAAACTTGCGTAATATATTTATTTTACCGATCACTGCAGCCGCTTATTTCTAACTGACAGCCGCACAATAAAGCTGTTAAACTTCATACTTCATTCATTTGATGTTACACCTTCATAACACCGAAAACTGTGACTTTAAGCTCAACATACCTCGATAACCCACTAATCTTGTTTCGTATATGTATATATAAATAAGTAGGTAAAGACTAACTAAATAAAATAAAAAAAACTAATTCTGACTTGATATCATCGGTCAGCAAATTAAAAAAAAAAAAAAAAAAGCGACTAATGTTCTAGTCTCACATAATCTTCTCTCAGTATAAATATTGTGTATAAATTAGTGCAAACTACTTGTAGTTATTCATTATGAATAATATAATTATTCCTTAGTTTTTGGCAACATGATTATTCACGTCATTGTTTACTTCAGTTGTCGCTGCGAGTGTTTGGGAGCGGAGACTTCCTGATGACTCACTGATGGAAACACTTCCAATTTGAGCAGAAACTATTTGCGTAATACCTCCCACTATTGATTTGAAGGGGGATCCCCAAAGCAAAAATCTTCCCCTGAGAAACACCAAGACAAGTTCGAATCAGTCTGTGCCAGCCTGCGCTTTGTCCGATTTTCCCGGCTGTCCTTGGAGGCAGCACTGCTACCTGTCGGTCAGGTCCAGCTGATCCGAGTGAGCGTGATTCAGAGAGGCGTCGACCTGCCGATGAGCCAGCACATGGATACACCTCAGCGTGACGGGTTTCTGTTCCTTCAGAGGACAGCGCACCTCGTCGGTTTCACATCGGACCAGTTTGGATGGAGGAGATTCTAAAACGTGCGGTAGGTGTCATAAAAATGAAACGTTTATTCTGTAGAAAATTAGTTTCAGAAGCGAGATAAGAAGAATCAGTGACACATGCTTCAAGTGAAGTTGAAACACAGCAACGTAGATGTTTCATTTTTCCTTTTTTTAAGAACTGTTGCCTCAGAATGAAGAGAGTAATTGGGACATTACTAAGCTTTGCTCCGCCTGATGTACATTTGTTGTTGAATGGTTTTTATTCAGGCCTACTATTGTGAAGTGAGTACTTTTTTAGATTTGGGTAAAAACAAGCAATTTGAAGACGTTATTTATATATATATGTTATAGATAAAAACAATTCAGGAAGGGTTAATTAACCTCCCTGCTTTATCCTTACATGGCCTCAGAGGAAATAATGTACAGTACACTGTGAATGGAGCTTGAGGTTTCTATTCCCTCTGCTCTGATCATGATGGTACAGAGTATTCTGATAACAGCGCACTGATGAATGTGAGATAGGTGGCAAATTAAAGGAAAAACTAACATCAAGTGTGTCAGGAAGACGTTCGGTCACCAAAAGCTGCCAGAACAGCTTCAGTGCACCTTCATGGATTGACTCTCAGAGTGTCTAGAACTTTGCTGGAGGGATGAACATTATTCTTCCAAAAGATATTTGTTCACTTGGTGGTTATGAGTGAAATCCGTTGATCAAACCATTCAGTGACGTCTGTACATCATCAGGATAGACATGCTTCATCACAGGACAGTGATAAATACTCAGAACAACTTTGTATTAATTTGCTGTGGCCTCCCCCTCTTGCAGCACAAATAGAGGAAAAAAAAAACGCCAAACCGCCCCCCACAGCAAAACAGAGCCGCCAGATCTTCTCTACGTGGTTGTCAAACATTCATTCCTGTACTGATCTCTTGTTGTGCGTGATATTTGCACTCACCCACCTGTCTCATATCATTGTTTGCACATCTCTGTGGTTGCTGCACCACTGCACTCTCATATGTGCATTCATCTTTATAAATAGGGGCTTTGCACAGCAGCTCGACTGTGGTCTCACAATAATTGTCGGCAGACCTGTGGGAGAGTTATCAAGTCATCAAATGTGCAGCGTTGACCACAATTTCCAACCATGTCTCCATTTGTCTTTTCTATAGATCTAAATGCAGATGTCACTTTAGTCATTGTTCTTAATCAAGAGATTTAAGCATTTTTGTGACTGAAGCTCCTTCCATCCGTTCCCCAACAATGAACTCTCTTTTCAAGTCACTTACATCTTTTTCTCTTTCTGTCTTGGTACAAAATCAGAAGCCGCATTATTATACATGCCACCAAGCAGGATGGGATGTTAATTGGACCATGTGTCCACTTAACTAGTGTTTCCTGCTCATGTATTCAGGTTTTTCCCTTAAGTTTGTTACCTGCCTGTATGTGGGAATAACATGGACCACAGTTCATTATAGTTTCTTGTCACAATTAATTGCATCTTCAGTGCAGCTAAAATTAGAATGACTTGTATTCCTATGATGAAGTTCATTCAGTTTACTAAAATGTCATTTTTCAGAGAAGGGGATGAAACTGTTCACACAAGTCCCTCACACAAGGTGAGTATTAAATGTGTACTGAATAGAGAGCCTTGAATTGTTGTTGACAACATGTAAATATCCTCAGCATCCTGCTTTGTGTCTGCAGTTATGGCCTCTGAGAGCAGTGTGTGGAATACCTGCAACTACAGCCGCGATGTCACCTTCTTCTATAACCTGGTGGGGAAGAAGATTAGTGAAGAGTGGAGCACACAGGACTTTGTGGTCATCGGACTGGGCTTGACAGTATGTCTTATTGTAGTCCTGGCCAACCTGATGGTGATGGCAGCCATCCTCATGAACCGTCGCTTCCACTTCCCCATCTACTACCTCCTGGGAAACATGGCTGCAGCAGACCTGTTTGCAGGAATCGCCTACGTCAACCTGATGTTGAACACGGGCCCCTGGACCAGAATGCTCACCAAGGAGCAGTGGTACATCCGCGGGGCTTTGATTGACATCAGCCTGACGGCCTCTGTGGCCAACCTCCTAGCTGTGGCCGTGGAGCGCCACCAGACCATCATCACCATGCAGCTGCACAGCAACATGACCAAGCGGCGTGTGGTGCTGTTGATAGTCTGCATCTGGGTCACGGCTATCATCATGGGCCTGGTGCCCTCCACGTTTTGGAACTGTGAGTGCGATCTTGATGACTGCTCTACCGTCGCTCCCCTCTACAGTCGGCGCTTCCTTATCTTCTGGGCAGTTCTCAACCTGCTCACTTTCTTCATTATGGTGGCAATGTACGCACGTATCTTCATCTATGTGAGATACCAGAGCCGGGCCACGTCTGAGCACACGTCAGAGATACGACACAACCAGACTGTTGTCAACCTGATGAAAACAATCTCCATGGTTCTGGGTGAGAAGTTGTCTGTGAAAATGAACTGCTAGATGTTATTTGTGTGTCAGAGGTGAAGTTGGTGATGTTTGGTTTTTCTATCTTCCAGCATTCTTAAAATACACAATGTACAAAATATGAAAGGACATCCTGCTCCTTATCTGCAGCGTTATTTTCATGGAGAGTTTTTAAGATTAAATGGTTTACACCATTTCATCACTTCATGTGAAGAGGAAATGTCTGGATTGTTTTGGATTGTTGACGGTATCGGGATGGTTGTTGTGCTCACAGAGCCGAGACGTGTTATGGTGCTTGTTATCTGTGGCAAACTAGTTTTGCAGCTTTAGTTTGTCGGATCTTGTCCATTTCCTGCTAGTTGAAGGACTTGAGGTCGCATTTCTTGTCATAATCAACATGTCTCCTTCAGGTAAATATGTTGTAAGTGGCAGTTAACGTTAATATTTGGCGATCATGGTACAAATGACCTAACAGAGCTGTGCTTTGACTCTTGTTGCATCACTGCTTTGGTGGAGTCCTGTAAACGCCCCATATTGTCCACCTTCTTTTTAACTAGTTTTAAACGTAAGTCACATAAAGAGTGTTTAAAGTTTCAGCTTAAAGTACAGCACAGATTAATTCTACCATGCCGATAATACCTCTGTGTTTAGCCTTCTTCCAAACGGGCTGCTTCAGTGTCCACCTGCCCACACTACGCTTAGGAAGAGTGCATCTACTTTGGGCACATTCCAGTATCCATACTGCCATACTATATTTTATACCAGGAAGAGATTTTTATGTACCAATACATAGTACATCAAATGCAGTATGCCAAATATACCCGGATGTCTTGCATGTTGGATTTTGCAGTGTGCAAGTCAACATGCTTTTCTGGTCATTCTGACCCACAATCTTCAGCACAGTTATGTCACAAATGCCAGTGAGTCTCACATGAAATATAAACAAGCTGAGCTGCAGAATGCACCAAATCAGAGGACAGCTTGTTCCGCACGACAGACTCTGAGGATCAAAGCTTAAGACACAACACTATGACAAAGTAGCAGTGGTTTGAATGCTGTATGTACAGTAGTTGGTACTTTGTAAGGGCAGCTGCAGTGCATTCTTAACGTAAAAAGAAAATATGTAAAGTGGCAGAAGTGAGCTAGCTGGAGGTGGTGCGTATCCTGTCTTGACATCACAACAGGTTGCAAACTTGAACATTCAGAAACACATTTTCTAATCTGCAGGGAAAGAAAAGGAATAAAATAGGGTGGTCTTTTCTGTGGACTTACAACTATGTTCAAAAACAATGAAAAACCTTTGCATAATGCAACCTTTGGAATTCAGGTGTTAAGTTTTATTTTTCCTAACATCTCCGCAGGTGCCTTCGTAATCTGCTGGACACCTGGTCTCATGACTCTTTTACTGGACGGGCTTTTGGGTAAAGCCAGCCACGCCAACAGCTTTGAGAAGTACTGCTTGGTGATAGCTGAGTGCAACTCTCTGGTCAATCCCATCATCTACTCTCTCCGGGACAACGAGATGCGAAGGACTTTCAAGTGGATCCTTTGCTGTCTGTGTCGGAAAGGTGCTGATCAGCGGCGGCAGCCTTCTGTCAAGATTAACTCTCCACTGTCAGAGGTACAAACAGTTGCTGTGTTACTGGTGTTACAGAGGGTTGTTGATCAGACAGTGCAGAATACAACCTGTGAAACTTTACACTCTGAACACCACAATCAGGCCAGTATTACATCCTATAAATCCTGCCACTGAGTTGTCACTTACCACACCTTTGCATATGCTGATTCCCAGTCTGATGTATCTTCCATACATTATCTATACACCGCTTAATCCTTACTAGGGTCGCAGGGGGACTGGAGTCTATCCCAGCTGACTAAAGGTGAAGGCAGGGGACACCCTGGACAGGTCACCAGTCTATCACAGGGCTACACTTAGAGACAGACAACCAAGCACACTCACATTCACACCAATTAACCTCAACATGTTTTTGGATTGTGTGGGAGGAAGCTGGAGAAAACCAACACTGCACGGGGAGAACATGCAAACTCCATGCAGAAAGATCCCGGTGTCCCCACTGGGATGCAAACCTGCAACCTTCTTGCTGCGAGGCAACAGTGCTAACCAACTGCGTCACCTTGCAGCCCCTGATGTATCTTAAGTATTTAAAAAAAAAAGGTTCTGTTACACATCTTGATAAGAAACCAGAAGATTCCTACTTTTTATTTCTTTGTAAATCTAAAGTACTTTTCTTGTCTAAGTTTCTGGGGGGGTTGCTAGTATCTAAAATAACTCAATGTAGAATTTCTTTAAGTCAGCAGTAATAGTCAATAGTAAAATGGGGTTGTAAAAGAATTGTATGACTTTTTTTAAAAAAAAAGTATTTTCCCCCCATGTTATGGTGGACTGAAATTATTTTATTATTTTGTCCACAGGAGACTCTTGACTTTGTCCAGAAGTCCGAGGATCGGGCCTTACGTAAGCCTCAAGACTCCCACGACAAAGACGGTTGGACAGAGCCCAGGGTATGACGGCAGTTCAGAAACACTGTCATCTAAACATTTATTATTCAATTAAGTTTTCTGCTGGACATTTGACAATTTCTACAAAGCTCTTTCTTCTGTGTTCACTTTTGAGACTGAATTAAAAAAAAAAAAAAAAAACAAGGCTGAAAAAGATTTTTATCAGCACTGGAAAAAAAAAGCTTGCATTGCTCAGCATGTTTTCCTCAGCCTCAGTGAGGCTAACAGATTCACATATTAATCATAAGATGGTGCAATCTCTCCTTTTATTACATTTGACTATCACAAGAGCATTTGTGACAAATTATAAAATGAAACACTCCTAAAATCTGAAATCAAATACTGAAAAATCACACTAAATCATTTTTATTAATTTTCTAATAAGAACACTACAATTTGTCATATTCTTCCTTTTGTTTTACTCTTTCTAGAACAATTCTAAAGTTGAGGTATAAAAGGAGTTCATACAGACTCACAAGTCTGAAAACAGTGGGGGTTATATACAAGAGAAATGGAAAGACAGAGGTAGAGAGAGGGGTAAATACAAGGGAAAGAGGGGAGATACAAATATACTAATAAAAAGAAAAAATCAAAAAGGTTTAAGAAGCCATCTGGTGCTGTGGAAGTCATTTAGTCACTTGCAGAATTCAAACAATTATTCAAACATGATCGACAGTAGAAAATCAAATTAGGTTCTGTATTTTAGATATACAGCTCTGATGCTGTATAGGGATGTTTTTGTTGCTGTACTCCTCTTTAAGGAGAGTGGCAGAAGTGGCCCGTGAAAATTTAAGCAAAAGATCTGCTTAAATGTAACACTCGGGCTGCTTCTTATAGATTTGTCTGTTCCAGGGTGAAACAACAGAAAAATCAAACAATTCAGCAAATGTTCTGCTTTCATATTCTTACAATCTTAATGACTTAAATGTTTTATTAGGATTAACTGAAATGTAGCAAACTTGCTTACCTTTTTAGGTTAGCTGTGATGGGCTGGCAAGTTTTAAGGTCCATGAGATAAAAATTCAGTTCATGTAACTGGTTCAATTGTTTCAAATCTCCTTTTGCCACTTTATAAATGGACATTTCTGATTCCCTGGAATGATCTGAGCAGGTTTAATTTAAATATTTGGAAAGGTGACTAAACAACTGAGGGAGTGTGGAAACTTGAGGGAAATCAAAAGGGGAAGAGTTCCATAAAACAACATGGGGGGAAATACATCAAAATAAAATATAACAACGTCCATACAATTCTCTTTCCACAGCACCAAATGTTGCGTCTGTAAACCCTACATTGCAACCCGGTTATGTAACAAAAGACCTAAATAATATTCAAAACTGATACAGAGTTATTGTGAATCCTGTGACACAGAGGCCAAAATAAAACTGGCATCTCAACCAAACATCAAAATTTATAAAAGAAAAAAAAAAAAAATACTGAAACATTACACAAACTGTACAGTGACATCCATTACAACAGGTAGAAAAAGGGGCTGGGGGCATGATAATTTGGTGTGGCGATAACATTATTCATACGATACAGTCATATGAACTGCTATGAGTAACAAAACAAGTAATTAAATGCGGGATATCACATGTGACCAGCTTTCAAGCTCAAGGTTTGTTCTGTAACATATGGTTAAACAAAGTCTTGACTGACACTTAAATCTTCATAAGGCTTCACCTTACTATCAAAATGCTTTGTTATTCACATAACAGTTAATGTATAAAACAGTTCCAAAGAATGAAAATCCCCCAAAAAATTTTACAGGTTTGTCTTAAACATGAGTTAAGTTTTTTCTACACCCAGTGCTGCCTCTTTTTTGGTAACAGAGGAGAGAGAGAAGCCCTTGCCCAATCGGCCATAGAACTAAAAACTAAACAATTGTGGATTTACCAGAAGGTATTAAAGGATGGGTAAAGGGGAGAGCATGCCTTCAATGCTCACAATCAAATTACAGGTGTGATATGACAGTCCTCACTGCACCCACCCACCCAAGAAGCCCCACAACGAAAAAAACAAAACAAAAAAAACAACCCAAAAATCAAACCAACTTGAGGCATGACGACACCACACAGAGAGACACAGATACAAATATAATTCCCTCCTCTCCTCAAACTGAAAAGGTGGCTGCGCACCAACTTTAGATAGACACAGAGTAGCATTATTACATTGCTGAACTTGGTATTTTTGGTTTTGGTACAACAGAAGGTTGTAGTGTGTTGCCTCGGGCTCACAAGCTAAAATGTATTAAGATGGGGAGGAGGAGATCTCGGTTGACCCCCATCTGGTGTGTCATTGGCTGGTGGAAGCACCCAGTCTCTATAATGCTTACAAAGGTCAGAGGGCACCAGCCAGTTTGACTAAGACATCCCAAGAACACTGTACACACGCCCACACAGAGACACACACATCATAGCAATACATGATGCACTTTTTCCTTTTTGGTCTGACTGTAATAATTATACCCTTTATTTTTTGTTAATAAAAATGAAGCTAAAAACTTGGAAGGTTAAATGAAAACAATATCACGCCTAGAAGTCCTACATGCATGGAAGACAGTCACGTTTCTAAATTCATGTCACGTTTGTCCCAATAACACATCAATGCCCCACAATCTTTCCACCCTTCTTTTATTTGTCATTTAAGATGCTTTATTGAGCTAATTTTTGGTGGTGGCTGGTGCATTCTTGGTGAAACAGCATTAGAAAATAGCCTACAATCAAATAAACTAGTGGACAGAAAGCAAGAAGTAAAGTCTACAAGCCATCTACCAACACCCTCTATTGGTTAGCAACAAAAAGGGCTATTAGTTACATCCACTCAACCAAAGATATTCTCCTCTCTCTGCCCTTTCCTCCTCTTCACACCAGCCCTATTATCACTTGTCCTGCCTGGTTTAGAACAGTGATCCCCTTAACTACCCTTTTACGGGTAGAGACACCCATAACAAGGATGCTAACTTTTGTGCTTGACACATCTTTTATGTCAGCTTACTATGAAAACGACTGAAAAGTTGTGAGGTGTATGTTATGGAAAGGTCTTTGCATGCACCTTTGTGCATATCAGTTTTTCACTTTGAAATCTCCAACAGAATGAAACATCAAGCCATAAGGACTGGAAGATACAACAGTGTCTTGAGTTGAGTTGGCAGAGGGTGATCTCAGAGGAACAGATGTGTTGACAACTACTGGGGCAGCACTTTGGTACGAGCAAGGTGAGCAGAGCTCCCTGGTGATCCGTATCAACAGTTTGGCTGTCAAATGCCAAGGCTTCAAGAGATACAGGCAATCACACACAGTTTTCCAAAGCAAAGGGTTGAGTGCAGAGGTCAACAGCACATGAACAAGCTGTGTGAGTACTGTGTGAAGTTAACGTGCATATACACATAATGTACAGACATCATAATCATCTACACAGCTGGGTCAGTGGTTTTTTTAAAAAGTCCTTGATAGTAAAGATGTTGTCTCAGTATCTGTAAGCTCCACCCCCCTTTCATTCTGAGTTATGAAGCTTTGAGCATTGGAGTGGAGCTGGAGGGAGAATTCCTCTTTACAACTGTTTGGCTGTCCTGTGTTCCAGCACAGTGTGTGTTTATGAAATGCGAGTACAGCCCTGTGAGGCTATCGAGTTGAGAGACAAGGGGAGTAGTGAAAAATGGGGACAGAGTATGGTTGTCAGAGCAGACCGCAGTGGGAATGAAGTGATGGCATGGAGAGCCACCGGATCAGTTGGAGGTGTCTGAGTGGACACTGCCAGGAGGACCAGGAGGGGAGGTAACCGAAGGGGGGTTGGTGGTGTCCTGCCAGCTGTTAGCCTGCAAACAGTTAGGGAAGAGAGTATTCTGCATGAAGAGGGAGTTTTCTAATTAGCAGTCTCAATCAGCTATATTTGTGCTTACTAGTCAAAGGATTCAGCCTCAAATTAGCTTACTGGCTGCAGAAAAATGCTATTCATTCAAAGAACTACCTATCTGTTAAAACATAATAGTTTCCTGACTGATTACATTCGTGTGTATACCAGGGAAAATCTTGTTAGATATCTAAATGCGTTTACATGCATTGTTGTAACTTGCTTCAGTAAATGGATTTCTGTGGGGTCATATTGTAGTAATATTACCTGCAAATACATGAGGTGTTGTGTATGTGTAGTCTGTACATGTACTAACATTTTTGAATACATGCAAGAATATGTAAACGTAAAGTGTTAGCTGTGAAAGTGTGTTGACATCTGCAGGTGTGCTGAGATCTGTGAATATGTCAATGTGTACGTGTTACAAATTCTAGCCCGCATTCAAATATTAATACACACATAGACTGAGATATAGTTTCAAAAGTCTACAACATAAATTTGCAATTAATACTGCTACAATAGTTTTTCCCCCCATGCATCTAACCCTGAATTTGGATACACTTTTGTTTTTAGTCAAACTTTGGAAAGTATTTCAATCAGAGGTTGATCTACTTTAATGATTTTCACGTAACCGGAGAAGAGCATATTAGGAGGTGCGATGAAAAAGTTTCAGAGACTTCACCTTTAAAAATCAAAAACCTGATTTAAATTTGACCGCCATCTGCTTCAAAGTTGTGTCTTTGCACAGCAATACATCTCTCTCAGTACCTCTGCCACGCTTGTTACGCTCCCTAGAAGTCCCATCATGTAAACTTGCCTATCATCATCTGCAATGGCAGCTAAATTTCCTTAATAGTGTCAAAACTGTGACCCTTGAACACGAATTAACTTTAGGGAAAAGGAAGAAGTTGCAGAGACCAAAATGTAGCAAACAGGGAGCAATTATTGTGTTACTGTGGCCGAAACAATGTGTATAATGAAGAGGCTGTGGCTCAGCACACAGTGCAATAGGAGCACTAACATGTCCTCACACCACCGTTCAGGTATTTGCATCTCTTCTCCCTTAGATGCTTCTGGACATCATAGTAGACCCTGTTAACAGTTGATCCTGTCGGACAAATTTTATGGTCCACAACCTGGTGAATGTCAAGGAAACAACAAGCAGGCTCTTGGTGTGCTCCTGACGCACCTTCTCCAATCTTGGAGACTGCAGCTCTTCCACTGTGAAAACTGCTGTTTGATCTTTGGGTCGGAGCCCAGACTCACCTCTTGTCACTAGTGTTGATCCTTGACATAAAGATTGGCTCGTCTGGGGCTGTTGACTGAAACTGTTCCAGTCAGAGTTCCATGGTGAAATTGCAAATGCACACCTTCCATCGGTAACAAAAATGTGTGCAACACATGTCCCGATGTTAAAGGCACAGTGTCACAAGCTTTCCTGACTCGTGACAGTTGCTGCTCTCGCATTTTTGAAGGCATGCAACTGTCACACGCAACAGGAAGAGTCTCTGAAGTTTTTGATCGCACCTCGTATAGGCAGGTATCCTGACTAACTAAATATGGTTTGTTCAGCTACACCACAAGAGGGTAAGTTGGTACTTACATCCAGGCGATGAGGGGTGTAGAGGCCACTACCTGACAACTCCTCATAGCCGCCCGTCAGGTGTGTAGCACGGTGCAGGGTATCCACCTGTCAGAGACAAAACATTTGAACACAAGCATTACTACATGTGGCAACTAAACAAATCTTAATTACAACATTTCCAATTAGACAACCACAGGCTGACCAAGGAACTGGCAGCATCCACAAACCTCTACTGCATGCTCCAGAACAATACAACTACACTGCTATTTACAGACAACCACAAGGACAACTCAATTTGAGGAAATTTCTTCTTGGTCTACATGGGAGAGGTGAATATGTGAGATGTTTGGAAGGGTGGGGGAAACTAGGACTGAAAAAGGCAGGAGGCTATGATACAGCTGGAGGTGCAGGACAACCTAGAGGTAGAGAAACTGACCATGAATCAGAGTGATTACTGGTTTGAGTCCCCAGCCCAAATGATTAGTAGTTTTGTCTTTGTAGTATTATACCTGCTGTACGTTAAGAGTACTGATGAAGAATCCTGTTGCTTCTAAACAGGAGTTTCCACACTGAGCCTGACACTATGCTGGTGGAAGAAATGCATCTAGACAGGGCCTATGTGTACATATTATTGATAAGGATGTGTGAGAACACAAATTTAAATAGCCTCAAACAAACATTTCTCTTGAGTGAGTGCATCAAGGCTCACTGTACATAGCAAAAAATGGTCAGTTTGTGTTGGTGGGGGCGGCAGGAGTTGGTAGTGTTGAAGGTAAAGGCAGGAGAGGATCTGAGGAGAGGTCGAAAGGAGCTAGGCTAAGGGAAGGTATCCAGGGATGCTGGGTGGCTAGGTTAACAGCATTGAGGTCAACTCTGCAGCTGTCCTCAGTGCATACCTGAGGCTGGAGGGGGGGGGCGATGTTGAGACCCTCCCCGTTGAGGGAGCGCAGGCCAAGGTAGGTGTCGCCTGTGTGAGACAAGCTGTATGACCCCGGTGACCCTGCAGGCAATATGTATATCCAATAGCCAATCAGCCCCACCACACAGCAATGGGGTCAAAAGGTTACCACTGGTCAGGGGCATTGCATGGGTGAAGCAAATTCTCATCTGATAAACATCTTCAATGAGGGTCACTGTTCTCAGTGTGGTAAGTCTGAATTCTCTGCACCATACATATAGCATATCAGCTGCACACACCAACGGCTGCAAATGTGCATCACTTAGAAAAAGATCAGTTTAATTACACTGTGCATTGCTTAGTTACAGGTCTATTTAATTATACAGTCACAAAAAGGTTTTGTGATAAGTAATCCTGTTTCACTGTGTATACTTCCTTTTTATGTGGACTTGTCATTACATTTCTGATAAGTGTGTTAGGCTGGAGAACTATGGTGGTTTATGTCATACTGAGCTACAAACTCATGTTGGCAGCTGCAGTAGTGGACAGCATGAGGTATTCTCACTTTGTAAATGTATAAAGGTTACAGAATGCTTTAAACAAACTGCTGCTTAGAACAGCAGTTAGTGACAGAAGCCACTTTCTCCAAGTAGGTTCCACTTGAACAACATTTGAATCCATTCCTACATCAGGAAACTATCGTGGAAAACTTTAAAGTTTACCAACAGTCAGACTACATAGTCTGTCTATGTTGGTGCTAATACTTTGTATAATCAATGCATAAATTCAAGTGGTGGTTTGTGATGTGGACTTTCAGGCCCTATGATCCAGGTTTTTCACTCCTGTCCTATGAATTGATTTGTAAAATATTGTTTCACACTAAAAACTGAGGCTTAATACTTGCAACGCACAGAATTACCTGTCAGAGATCATGATTTGAACAGTCCAGTGACCTATGCTGTACCGTACTCCTATTACTATTTTATTTTACATATATATATTTTGATACCAGGTATTTAATTTTTTTCCCTCCACTCATCCATAAAGACACGTCCACTTGCATCGACAATGCAGCTTGGTAGCAATGTGGCTGTTGTCTGCAAAATTCAACTGGTAGCAAATAAGATGACGACACTTGTTGAACATACGTTTCTCACACTTTTAAATAAATAAAAAATATTCAGTCTTACAGTTTTAAATTTGGTCACTCTTAAAGGCTTAAACAACCCAGCTGACCATTACTATTTTGAGCAGACTGAAGCCATAAGAAGGGAACTGACTAAAAGAATTAAAATGTCTGAATGATCACCTACCTGATCCATTCAGCTTCCTTCGCAAATTGAGGTTACTATATTATTACTATGTTCCATGTGTTGCATACTTGTTAAAATATAGGACAGGCTTAAAGTTTTAGGTAGCTCACAACAAAAACAGTTGAACAAGTAATTAAAAATGAGTATTATTTTTATAAAGAAAATACAGAAGATGAACAGAAAGTACTTGAAGAAGATGTCAGGTCAGTCCAATTAATATCCCTGAGTATTATAAAAGTTAAATCTATATTAATCAGTTGTGAAAATACAAAATGCTAGAAAAGCATCCAACATTTAAAAGATATCACAGGATGAAAGTAAATCTTGGTTATCAGACTAGCAAGAACCAAGGGAACCCACACTGCACGGATCAAAGCATCAACTTTGAATACTAAACAAAACAACAGGAGTAACTTTTTACTCATAGTGATGCAATCAGAAAACAAATGTATAGCTGGGAAAGCCAATGCAGGTTGCTTAATTTCAAAATAATGGAAGTTAGCTAGGCAACTCTAGGAACTGCTTCAGAATAAAAATGTACACTTTTGCCTCGAACAGCTGGCTTGCTGCAGCAGTACCAAGTGAGAAAAGATAGTGTTGCAGTTTCTTTGGCTGAAGAAGACATTTTGCCAGGAACTTGATGCACAAAGAATAGGATCATTTCACTTGACTATAAACAGTCATGTGGTAGCTGGCTTGGTGCACATTTGAAGTATGCAGTGTGGGTTTTCCTTTGAATGATCAAATCACCCCATCATACACTCACTCTGTGGTTCAAGTGGGTTCAGTTGTGCAAGAACAAGAGTGTGTGTATAGTAACAGAAGCTTGTTAATAAGAAGTGGCAGGGCTTGTGGGTAGATGAAATGGAGCATGTGGTACCTGAGTTGGGTGTTGCCGGAGAGTTAGCCTGGCTAGCCTGCGCCGACACATTGGCAGCATCCACCGCTGTTTTAACTGCGTAGAGGTTCGCTTCCTCCTGGAACTTACCAATGTTCTTCTTGTAGCGTATTCTCTTGTTGCCAAACCAATTAGAGACCTTAGAGACAGAGATATCATATTTGAATACAGTGATTCAATTAGCTGCTTTGCCCCTTTTGCTAAAAAATGTGAAACAAGAATTTAAAAATCCACAATGTGCTTTTCTCTTTGATTATTTTTTTTGTTTACTTCTGTGAGAAATAGCAAAAAATAAAAATAAAAAAATGATGCCATGTAAAGCATTCTTTATAATAAAACTGATCCTACATTTACAAACAAGCTCTGCTTTCATAAAAACAGTATCCTTGTACTGTCCTAAATACTGTTAACTATGTTAACAATTCACCTGAGACACAGTGATCCCACACTTTTTGGCCAGTTCCTCCTTGGCTTCCTCACTAGGGTAAGGGTTAGACAGGTGGGAGTAGAAATACTCGTTCAGCACCTCTGTGGCTTGCTTGTTGAAATTGCGCCTCTTACGTCTGACACACACAGAGAGAAGAGATAATGACCAACATGCTTGGAATGTAAATGTCTTACACAACAATGTCACTTCAGCCCTCAAGAGAAATCTAACACACACATACACATAGTACAAATAGCAGGTAGACACACACAGACCTGGCATCAAGGAAGCGTGAGCGCAAAATCATGACAGCCTCACAGGTGCTCTGTTTGAGCTGCATCTGAATGGAGCTGAACTTGCGGTGGATTATGGCCACCATGCGCTCAATCTCCTTGGGAGAGATGGGCCGTGTGCGAGACTGCTCTCTCAGCAGGTTCATTACATGGTTGGTGAACTCACTGCAGGCCTGGAACAAAGAGAGAGAGAGAGAAAGGAGTTGAATGCTATTGTAAAAAGATGGACAAAGCACAGAATTTGCCCAGTGCCATGGCACAGTTTTGAAGAGACCTCAGCTGTCTGATTCCTCAGTTGGGGAATGTTGCTAAGAAAAATAGAGTTATACTAGGATGCTTGATTTTTGAGCTACTTGAAGCACTCAAAATCATACAACACAGATCACTGCTGCAATTTCTCAAATCTGTATCACTGAAACACCATACAAGGGCAACAGAGGTAAATACCACAAATACACATGTGATGTTTTCCATCCTTTCATACTAATATATGTATAACAAAATGTGTCAATGTTAAAATTATACAGCTGCCACGTTTGTCAGCATAACTGACTACTAGATGCTGAAAACGTGTCAACATCAATATTATTAACCAACACGTTTTTGCTTTACTTCAATTAATGTTAAAAATGTTTTTATTCAGTATCACTGCGTAATTGTTCAGTCATGACATCAGTCGTTTTAGGCTCTAGTAGTGCTTACTGTAGGAAGCACTATAGTTTTAGACAATGGTGGTGGCAGGAAAATTTAACTGAGTTCAGAGCAAAAGTTTCCCTTTCCTAAAACCAAAGGCTTTGAAAGTAGGGGAGTCCTCCAAATGATCACCGAACAGAATGTGGTTTGTATACTGCCAAGCTTTGATGGCAGACCCACAGCAGCACAGCACAATGCACAGGCTGTGCTGTCATGTACTGTATTTTAATACAGCTAAATTCCCAATGAAGTTGTTTTCGTTTACACGTTTTTTTTTTTCTGTTGTCAGACAACAAAACAAGTATGAAATCGTGACTGAAATGCAGCCCTTTAAGATTACATGTTTACCAGCAGTAACTTCCAAGCTGTGGCTCTGCACTGCTAAAATCACTGCTTTTTAATGTCAGATTTGTCCAAGATTAAACCAAATGACTTTTTTTTTACATGCGGTCTTTTTCTGAACTTGAGTGAAATATTGAAAGTGAAAATTAATTGTTTCAGTTAATTGACTAATAGATTATTCAATAGCTGAGCGGAAAAAAAGAGCAAATGCTCTGTTGTTCATGAGAACACCGCTTTTTAAAGCATAAATAGCACAGAACACTGAAGGTTTAAAAGTACTACTTTCCACCACAGCGGTTAACACAGTAGCTTCCTGTTCCAGTTACAGCGACACTAATACAGCTTAATGATCATCATGCACTCGCACCAATGTGACCGCTTGAAATTTTAACTTGCACGCTCTCAAAAAAAGATCACAAATACGACCATTTCGGTGGCAGTCAGGAGCCCTCTGAATATATATTGGTGTAAGAGTTTCAAGCATTTAGGCCTGCATTGCACAAACCTGCTCATACTTCTCCAGCTCAGAATGATATATCTGGCGAATCTGAGCAAGCTTGGCTCTGTAGTCGGAGTGTTCGATGCTGCTGTCGGTGGGTGAGCCCCCTGCTGCTGCTGCAGCTGCAGCCGCTGCAGCTGATCCACCACCCTTCTCTGGTCCCGACACCCCCTCTGCTAGCAGCATGTTGTCCAACCGCATGATCTGGGGATCTGGGGGGTCCTCCTCCTGCACACCTCGTATACTCAGCACTGGAGAGAAGAACGTATAGAAGTAAAGCTGGTGAGTATTTTCCTGTTTTTATTAGTTAAACCAGAACACATTTTGAGGTCTAAGCAAACCTGTTGGTGAAAAAGTTTTCAAAAACTGACAGACCACACACTTCCCAAAAAGGGGCCTATTGCGGTGGCATCTAGAGGTGCATAGAAAGATGCTATATCACTGCTAAAATTCAAAGATGTGCAGCCCTGTCAAAACCCAGTCAAGTTTCTCCCCTGAGTCATTGCTATGAGCGCCTGACTGAATTGTCAATGAGCCTGAGCTTCCTCTAAATCAACAGCAGAGGGCAGTGTGGTCCCTCGGTGGCAGCCTGCCAGAGATAAGGGCATGAGGCATGGGACCAGTAATGGGAGTGCATGTGCTGTCACTATGAGCCCCAGTGGCCATAAGTATAGTTATCAGTCGCTGCTCTCCACCACTGTATTATACCAGGACCTCTGTCAGCCTGCAGCCATGCTCTCATCTCTCTCTCTCTTTCACACATACATGCACGCACACACACACTCCCCTACTGACACCACTCTGTTACTGAAAAGTTTTAACTTCAGACAACCATCTTTTCTTCAGAGCCTGGAGCTTTTAACACTTAACTAAATTGTCGCTTGCCCCTTTTGCTTCTCAATTATTCAACTTCAGAAAGTAAGAGTGGAAACCTTGTATCACAGTTCAATGTCTTGAGCAGAAGATTTACAGGCAATTCAATTATTTTAAAAATTGAAAGTATGGGATATGACACACATGGTTATTATAGTACCAGACAGATGGATAGACAGATATTTTATTCATCCTCTTGGGTAAATTATTTGCAACCATGCATGAATTTAAGGTAATTTCTGAGGGGAAAACTACATTATATAGTGGCATTGCAAAAATTTACTTTTCTGGCTAATTTAGTGCTATTTTTATTTTTTTTTTTAATGTAAAAGTGCAACATATTGTTGACAAAAAAATAAAAAATACAGCAACTACTTTGATAATTGAGTTATTTTCATATTTAAATGGCAAGATGTAACATAAAGGCCTGAGGAAATGTGATGGCCATTTTTTCACTTTTCTTAAACGGAATAAACATTTATTTGATTCATTTTGAAAATAATTAACAGAATAATTGATAATTTAATTATTCCATCGATGCAGCCCTATTACACAGCCAAGTTTGTGTACAATGGTAAAATGAGCAGATTTTAGACAACATTTGCATTATGAATAAAACTGTTTCAGAGTCAAACACTATACTTTGTCCACATTTATATTAATTTTTAGAACTGGGGAATTAATTCAGGAGATAAAAGCCGATTCAGAATGTGAGGAAACCCAGTGGGATACTGAAGGACACAGACGCTAACAATATGGATGACAAGATTAATTCCAGTGGAAACTAGGTGGCATTAGGCAATTGTCCTCCTTACGGATTATGCTAGTTTGTCAACACGTATCGTCCAAGGTTAGGGGGTGCATGAACTCACTCATTAAGAGCTTCTCTTGTGAGTCTTGTGAGTCTTTATGTTGTTGTTGCAAGTCTTCACATTACACTGAGTCTTTAAGTTGCTGTCAAAGTTTCCCTGTAGAGAGTCGCACTGAAAAACAAGTTTGCAGCTGTGGAGCAGTCGGAGCTAACAAATGAGTGGAGCTGTACTGTAGAGTAACAGATGTGAAGAAATGGGGGAAACTGTTTTGCTTAAAAATTTCCAAGTGCTATGGAGCAAATGAGCTTTTGCTTTTTCATAACTTAATTTGATAAATTAGTCTGTTCCACCGTTGTACCAGGCCTTTTGTAGCAAAGTGTCCAACTTTCCTTCTTTCCTCCCCTTTTTTTCTTGTTCCTTCTTGCCTTTTTCTTTCCTACTGCTTAGGTCTCTTTCTCTCTCCAAGGCACATTCCTGCTCTGCTGCTCCCCCATCTCAGGGCTCAGGAATGCAGCAGACCCAGCCGACTGAACTAATGACCCTGATTCGCCCATCTCTTTCCCTCCTCTTTTTCTTTCCTTTCACTAATTCACAAACGATCTCTGCACTTTTTTTATTTTACAGATAACCTATAGGTAACTCCTCGATCAACAACCAAAATAACATGTTTTGGACCTCCTTCTTTGAGACGACTTCAATACTCTGATGACGGTTAGAGTTTTAAGCACTGGCAAAGTCTTGGGAAGCCCACGACAGACAGTACGGATTTTATGTAGATAGATTTTGATCTAAACTATCTATTCACAGAGATGCAGAGCTGACCAACGCTGAAGAGGGCAACTGTAGCTCTTCAAGCTTCTCACCTTGCCCCCCTCCCTTTTGCCCCCTCTCATTATGGCCCCCAGCTGTAGCCTAATGCCCCTACATTCTCCTAATTACTCCAATTAAGCTGTGATTACCCAGAATTGCGCTCATGCACAGTCTAGTGGCCTAGCGGTATTATAGCAGCTGTTGAGATGAGTTAAGATACCGCACTGAAAAGGACCATATGCGATGTAAAAAGAAGTCACAAAGTGTTTTACTCTGAGACTAAAGGGAGATTCCTAAAACCAGGAAACAACAACAATAAAGAGTCTACAGGTCGAAGAACCGGCTGGCTGTTTTGCTCCGAAATCTAAGCAGTGTTTTCTTTTTGATCAACTGGCTCCCGACATTGCCACTGGACTGGGTCTGTTACTCAGAGACTAAAACTCAAGAGTGCTGTTAGTAATGATACTTAAATTCCCTTTTTAAATTGGAAGACAGCTTAAGGCCCACAGCCTGCATCCACAGCTCTTAGAAATCACACCATTATGCACACGTTACCAGCCAAGCTGGGCGGTGTGGCATTGAGAGACGAAGCGAGCAACACATACTATGAAATATTCAGGGTATCCAGCTGGGCTTTCACTGCATACATAATCATTCTCATTTTTGCACAGCCAATGTGGAAACGTGTGCTGTGCAGACACAACACACAATACATGAAGTGGTGCAGGTAAGGGTGAACAACCTAACCAATAGTGTAGTGCTGTACATTAACTGTAATGCCTTCCACACATAGGCATAGATAAGACTTAAACGCAGTCAGTATATCATTGCTCAGCTCACAGCACAAGCTTTATCCTTGTCTGTCTTTTCCCTCGCTAGCATCCCCTTTTTCACTCTGTCTCCCCCCAACACGCATCCCCTCCCCCCTCTCCCTTTCAGCGCACCCCCCCATCCCCACACCTCCCCCAGTGCCCCCCCTCCCTCCCCTCTGTTCTCCATTTCAGTCGAGTTCTCCATGTGAGCCGCAATCCCTCATGCTGTCAGCCCCCCCTCTCCCTCTCTCTGTAGACAGACAGGATTAGCATTTTAATTGCATCAGCTCCCTTGGGTATTCTCAGCCTTTCACTGGGAGAGAGCAAGGGAGCGGGAGAGAGAGAGAAGGATAGAGAAGGAAAAAAAGGGGGAAAAAAGGTAAGGAGAGAGAGAGAGAGAGGGTAGAAGGAGAACCAAGGAGAATTGAAAAAAGAAGTCACAGGAGAAGATATGTGTGCGAGAGCGAAAGAGACAGAGAGAGAGAGAGAGAGAGAGAGGGAGAGGGGCTACAGAAATATACAGAATCCAGAGTACAGACGTGCCAGAAAGCGAGAGAGCCAGAAAGGGAGAAAAGATAGGACTGTGAAAACATCAGTTTTTGCTTTCATTACAGACAGAATTCAGATAAAGAGAGTGGCCCATAGAACGATGGTTTTATACAATGAAAATATGCTACATGAATATGTAAATTTACCTTCCAAAAATGCAAAAACAAATCTCAACTGCAGCTCTGGAGATATGATAGCTAAACCTGGGTAGCATCTGGGCAATACAAATACAGCAAGGTAAAAAAGGAAACTCAGGTCATTCTACCTATATTGAACAGACAGATATTAACCCTGAAAAACAAATACAGCCTAAAGGAGTGTAAACTTCTTCTTGAACGGCTGCTGAAAGCCCTCCAGGTTGAATGTGATTCTCAGATCTCATAAAACGAGATTTTTTATTATCATTATTTTTTAAGAAAAAGGATGCAGTGAATGAAAGTTTGATGAAACCAAAACCTGACGAAAAAACGTGATCAGACTTTTAGGTTTCCTAATTCTTCTGCGCTAAATCAATATCGCTTCCATGCTGCAGAAAAATAGTGAGAAGTGGCAACAGTGAGAAAGAATAGTTTAGTCAAAGTCCTTTAAAAATCCATGGCGGGAGATATAAACTTGGTCTTAATTACATCCAGATGATCATCCATAAGTGCAAAATTACATGTCAACATCACAACTAGTGGTCTCCAGCAATCTTATTAACAGTCTTGATGCCAAAGGCAGCTTCATTGGAAAACCCTGTTTCACTTTCACAAATAGTTGCCGTTTTGGTAGAATATGGGTTGCTCAAAAAAGGGCTTGGGTGAATAAAATTTTGCCATGGGCGAATTGCAGCATTTGGCATTGAGATTGAAAAACCTGCATTAAAAATAAATTACTTCCCCAGTGTGGTTTTTGCCAAATGGACATTGGGAAAGGTGTATTTTTACTGCAAATTTAACATTAAAAACCGTGTATCTATTTCTTTCTTTTTTTTTTAAAGGGTGTGTTGAGTACAGTCAACTTAATGAGCCCAATCCATATGTCCATTCCTACTTTAAGCAGCTCACACTAATCAGCATCTGTTTGGGTAGTTTACTAGAGTCCTGTTGCACGCAGCCCCCCACTCTGATAGAAACACATGCACACACCGAGAGGTAAGCATTTAGAGTAAACACGGTGTGGTCTGATTAAGGTGTGAATTGGAGAATTCACACCTTGGGCAAACACAACACTTCAGTCCAACACATCATTAATCAGCCCTTAATTAACTAAAGAGAGAGGCTTGGACACTCGAGCAATGACAACAACACACACAAACACGGAGGGAGAGATATATCAATTGTGTTGTTGCTAAATCTGCATAAATAAAAGCAATTAAACATCTATAATATCTTTTCCCAGTGTCAAATTTTCAAA